AAGAAAAAAGGGATAACTAAGAAATGAAATAATTTCATTCTGTTATGGGGTCTTAACATTCATTCATATCTCTGAATCTATATCCCATTAGCATCTTTTGAGTGTTCTTGGAAACAGAACAAACTAAAGCTCAGCTGAGTTGAGTATTTCATGCATAAATCCTCTGATAAAATGTCTTATTCTGTCTTTTTTTCCTTTTTAACTGAAATATTGCTTAGGTTAGTAAAGTCAGAGCAGGTTATACACATTAAATTAATTAATCCAACTTTTTATGACATTCTAGATTGTATTGTAAACCATACATAGTAATTGTTCCTCAGGATTTAATATAATGGGAGAAGGAGGAAAGCACAAAGTCGAGAGTGAGGCACATGAAGGCATGAGCACCCACTTGAACTTCTCCTCACCAAACATGCATGCAAACCAAAACATGGCAATGCATAATCTCGAAAATGGCCACTTCATAAATGCTAATAATAATTCAATCGGCCGAGAATTTGGGGGTGCTTTCTCACATGACTCGTGGAATGATTCCTCTTTCGGCAATAGCTTGAAAAGGAATCGAGACGGTAAAATGAGGGTGTTTTCGGATTTCAATGGCTTCGATAATCGGGTATATATATATTTACCTTTCTTTTTTTTCTCTCTCATGTATGTTGATTTCTTATTTTGCTGATGAGGTTGATAAGTTGTTATCAGAATACTGAGGAAAGTAGCAAAAGCTCATCTGGATTAGTTCACCATTTGAGCTTGCGGAAATCAGCAGAAGCTGAAAACCTTTTGAAATTTCAACCCGAGACAGTGCCTTGTCAAGTTCGTGCCAAAAGAGGTTGCGCCACTCATCCGAGAAGTATAGCCGAAAGGGTAAAATCTTATATATTCCTGATTTGATAATAGACCTACAATTGGACATTCAATTTTTGGTTATGCAAAATGCTCAATTTTGGCCATTAGCTATCAGGAGTAAATCTACACGACCAATTTCAAGCTTTTTTGTGGTGCAAATTAACTAGATAAAATTGCATATTAATGCACCACCTTTCATGTTTTTGCAATTTAATCACAACATTTACAATTTTGCAAATTAATACACCACCTTTACTATTTTTGCAAATCGGTACATAAATGACGGTTCCGTTAAAAAAATCTAACGAAAATTTGACGTGGTTCAATGCCATGTCAGATTTTCGTTAACGGAACCGTCAGCTATGTATCGATTTGCAAAAATGATAAAAGCGGTGTATTAATTTACAAAATTGTAATGGTGGTGATTAAATTGCAAAAACATAAAAGGTGATGTATTAATTAATAACCGTATTAATCTATTGGTTTGTAATAATCGTAGATGAGGCGGACTAGGATTAGTGAAAAGATGAAGAAGCTGCAAGATCTTTTTCCAAATATGGACAAGGTGGAACTCTTTGCCCCCAATATTCATTTGCAATCTATTCAAGCATATCTCTTTGGGGTACCGTTTTTAATGTATCTCCTTCATTTGCAGCAAACAAGCACAGCTGACATGTTGGACTTGGCCGTTGCGTACATTAAAGACCTCCAGAATCAAGTCCAGGTAAATATAAAAGAAAAAAGTAAGAAAAAAACTGGATGGCATTAATATTAAACTTCTCACTAGTCAATATTAATTCATTCGTGCAGACGCTGACGGACAAGAAGGCAAAGTGCATTTGTTCAAGTAAACCTCATAAAGAGTAGTCCTTACTGGAAAGGGTGGTTAGTAGCGGTCAAAGTCCAATGTGGACCTTGCCAGCTGTGCTGAATGCTTGCTTGCACCAAAAGTCAACTCTTATCTGCACATTTGGAGAAGAAGTTGGAATGTAGGCTTGTTTGTTGTTTGACAATGTTGGCAAGATCTCTAGTAAGGGTGTAATTCGTTAATTTAGATTTTTAGTGTACGGATTAGGTTGGTTGGATTATTTTGTAGTTTTATGAATAATTTGTGAATAATGCTTTAGCTTGGTGTAGCTGATGGTGATTTTAGATAGAGGGAGCGTTCGGCAAAATTTAAAAACACCTTGGACCTAATTAGGAAATAAATTGAGAAATAATTATCCGAACTTCTATGTTTGTTAGACAAATAAACAAGCTTGTATTTTATTTGATTAGATTATAAGCTTCTTGTATTTAAATAAACTTCGTTTGGTTAAAAAGCTCGAGCTTATCTTATAACCGTATCTTTTTAAATAAGCTATTTGAAATTTTTATTTCAGCTAGTTTATCAACTAATTTTACCAAACACTTTTATCATATAAGCTAGCTTTTCAACTATAAGTCATAAGTTATAAGTTAAAAGTTCGAAAATTGATGATAAACTATAGACTAGCATATTAGCTATCAGCTAGCTTATTAGGCAGATAACGGAAAAATCAAGGCGTAACAACGTTAAAGAACATCTATAAATACACATGAACGCCAAAACATTCATACATCAGATTTCAGAATTCTTTTGCATTATTTATAAAGTTTACAGAGAATCTATGTTTTTTGTGATCGTTTCTATCTTGAAAGTTCTGAAACTTGTTGATTGTGTATTTGAATTACAACCATATACAAATCAAAAGTCTCTCAGAGACGTTAGCCGTGAATAGTGGGTACATACGAGGTTATTTCGTCTTAAAGAGAGTACATTTACGTGCATCGCCTTTGATTCTTTTAATCGATCTCTTTCTGATTTTAAGTCATTTTTTTTACATTCGCAAACACCACAAAACATGTCTTTCTTGCATGTGAAACGCAATCAATCACCATTTCCTTATTTTTATTTTTTTGACCCCAGGGCCGGATCTAGAAAATTTAATTGGGAGGACTAAATAATTTTCAATAACGGTATACTTCATTAAAAAGACAAGGCTGCATTTCTAGAATAGAAAAAAAAAAAAAATAGTTCAAGAAAATACATATCGTTCAAACTTTGTGACTATTAGAATTGTGTTCGATGTTCTCTCAAGTCATGGAACTCATAGATGATTGACTCGATAGTAATAGATCTTGCAATTTCCCTTTCAAGAAAGATAGTCAAAGAATTTACAAGAAAGTCATCTTCCATTTCACTTAGAAGTTTGGATTTAATATAGCCATAGCCGAAAATGCACGCTCTGTGGTCGCCGTAGACACAGGAAGAGTAAGAATCAACCTTATTAATACATTAATCAACAGATATATCAAGGACTTTCTACTTTTTGCCATCCATTGGCACAAATCAGAGATAGTGCACGAATTATGAAATCCTGATGTTTGAGAACATCAATCTCAGAATGTCGCAATTGAACTTGCAATAAACCTTTTTCATATTCCGTGAATTCTCTGGGATAAAATTCATTGACAAGAAGTCAAGCGTCTATATGAAAAGACAATTGAGAATTGCAAGGATTGAACATAGAGCTAAAAACAAGTAGCTTCACGGCATGCTCACTAAATCTAATGTTCAGCTCTCGCATTTGACAATCTATCGTAACCATAAATATATTAATCACCGACTGTAAATAGATTTTGCTTATTCCGAGATCGTCCTTCTTTTTCAACATATAAATCATTAACATCGGGAATATCTATCGCACGATTTTCACAAAAACACATTACCTTGCCAAACAGACTGTCATATCCATCATCTCTCAGTTTTTGGATTAGATTCTTTGTAGTGCCAACAAGATGCATAGCATTTAGAATATCTTGAGATTTCCGTTAAAGAGCTTGACAAAGCATATCAATTGTTTCCATTATTTCTTATATAAGATGCAAGATGAAGACGAACTCAAAAGAGGCCAAAGAAATGTAAGCCGAATCCGCATCGGCTCGTTGAGCATAATTGCTCTCATCAATGATGCACAACAAAACCGAGCAAGCTGCACCTAAACATCTTCAACAAGCTAGAAATTCATCTCAAGTGCGGACCCCACCACGTATCTCCTGCTCGTTTTTAACTGTCAATTTGATTTTGTCCAGACCCTTTTTCAAGCTCATCAATACAAGTAAGCAGTAACAAAAGCTTAGGCCACTTTTAATCATCGAATATGATGAAATTTAACTTTGTAATAAAAAATGGTGGCGAGGATAACTTCTCTAGATATTCCAACCAACGCCAATTGCAACCGATGAGCTAAACAATGCTCATAATATGCATACTGGCATTCTTTAGCAATTAGTGCTGTAATTCATTGAATTCACCGCGCATATTACTCGCCCCGTCATATCCCTGACTAGAGCAGACACTAATTCGAAAAGTAACAACAGGAATACAAATTAAAAGAAATTATTGTTGAAGTTATTTCTTAACATTGTCTCATATCTTTTTGTTAAATTTCACTTATAAAAAATATTGTTTACATTACATTCGTGTATCCAACGGATACCAATGCTAGTTAAGAATGAAAGAATAATTCATCCTCCCATAAATATGAAAGTCATATCACCAGAAATCCACAAATATTACATCAATTTCAGTTGAGCAAAAACAGCTACAATAGCATCCAGCAGATATCAGATTTTAGAGCGCAGTCCAACCACCATTTTATTAAAATGCTGCAACACATGCTTAATGATGCCAGTGAAGGGAACAAAAAATCAAGAAGCAATAGAAAAATCGATTAGAGGACACTGCAGACTGCTGTCTTTGGAGTCTAGCATCTCCTTAGTTGCCTTTCAGGTTAATAACTGCAAGCTCCTGCTCTACAAACTCACCAGCACTAATGGGAAAGTATTTACCGGCTAATGGTGAGCCCGCAAAGTGGTCCAAAGGTTTCAACACGGCATCTGATGCTATGTGTGCGAAAAGCTACATAAACAAACAACAAATTTTAGCAAACATAACTGAACAAACAANTCACCGTTGAAGATACTCGCAACAGGCTGCGATTTTGCTCAGAAGCTAATTTCATTGCTTCTATTGTGCGGTCTGTCACGACAACTTCATGCATGCCAGCCATGCACTCACCGTTGAAGATACTCGCCACAGGCTGCGATTTTGCTCAGAAGCTAATTTCATTGCTTCTATTGTGCGGTCTGTCACGACAACTTCATGCATGCCAGCCATGCACTCCCCAGCAGTCAACCACTCTATCTGCATATCCATATAATTTTTAAAGGTTTGGAAAAGAAGTGAAAATAAAGAGTTTATCTATCTATCTATATCTATATCTATTATAAAACGAGGAATGAATATGTAAAAAATTGCACGGACCAAAATATCCTTGTATTTGTCATGTTAGTAATGGCAGAATTGTACTAAAAAATAAGTCTAATTTACAAAGAATAATTAAATACGAAAAGGACTCTAATTGTTTAAGCAAATCTAATTGCGTGTAAACAGCTAAACTTGTCAATATTCACCCGTTCAAGACATGTTGTCCCTCTAAGTACTTGAAAGACTACACCACTACAAAACATTTTATATGTATCAGTTACAAAATACAAAATTGAGAATCAAAATTTTTGAGTGAAAAAGGTTAATACAGTCGATCTTAATACCTGCGCCTAAAATCTCAATTTTTTAAGATTCTAGAAAGACAAAAGGCTAATAAAAAGAGTTCAACATTATTAAACTTCAATAACAATAACAATGTATCCAAAGAAAAACATGATTTCATGGCAAGTATAATTGAGTTGCTTCTTGTCTTATCCATAAAAGGTTTAATAGAAATCAATTTAACAACTTTATGTATAAATTAACTATTATAAAAATGTAAACTCATGTGTAAGCAATTGACAATCAACATAAAAGTGAATGGATTATACAAGAAATGATTTGCTACAATAATAACATATTGATGTATAAAGATTATCAAAATAATGACCCATTTAAAAATACTAAATGCGTAATTAAGTTGGTTTATGCATAATTAGAATACTATGTAATTAAGCTATAATTTTGCCATTTAATTTTTGAAGAATACATGGATATATTAGGGAATCAATATTTTTACAGAACTTATCATATGATTTCACCTAATTACACATAATTTATCCGCCTGTCTGAGTTTTCATGTGAGCCACAAACTAATACCAATGAGCAATAATCATAAACAAATGCTATATAATGTTGAAAAAAATGAGTAGTTTGTTCAAAAGAAAATAATAAAAAGAAGATATCAAGATATATGATTTTTTATAATTTATTATTTCATTGTGATTCCTTTTAATTGTTAACACCTAAAATATATCGAACAATACTTAACTATGAACACTTTGTTTTGAATATCAAAATTAATTATGAAATAGCATATAAGAATATTATACAAATTCAAGTAAAATAACATAGAAAACATATAAACAAATATACTATAAATTATATTTTTTTTCTTTTAATGAAAAGAATAAAGTGTAATCTCAAAAGACACGGATACAAAGATCCGAAGACAAGCTCAAAATCAACCAGATTGAACTCATGAGTTCTTTAAAAAATATTATACATATGTTTAAGAAAATAAAATATTTCAAGATTGAGCTACTCATATTCACATAATAAATTTTTTAAAAAATGAAAATCAAATGCTCTTATGAAGTCTACTAGTAAATTTTCAAATCCGACTAATTTGATAAAGCTAAAATTCAATCCTTTAGAACTTAGAGTGTCTTCAACGGTTGAACAATATACTACGCAAACTCAAACTGGAATCTTCCATTCAACCGAAGGGCATACGCAAGCTCAAAATGCATTCCCAATTTCTATTTCACATTCCAAATTTCATTTTGACTAAATGCAAAAGTTTCAAGATGTTTATACCTTACATATATTTATTGTATTTTTAACATTTAGTTTTATAGGTTAATATGTATTTACATATATTGCTCTGTTACATTATATTGCTCCATTACATTATTTTTAATTTATATTGAAAATATAATAATTTTTCCATATTTTTTAACAATAAAATTTTAATACAAATATTGTGAACTAAATTATTTGAAAATATTCATAACAATATTTGGAAAAGAATTATCTATAAAAAATATTAATACAAATAATTTTAAGAAAATTATTTATAGTGAAAAGGAAACACTAAGAGATATTTATAATAAATTCAAATAATATGATACTTCTAAAAATATTTGTAATATTTATAATAATTTTATATTGTATGATACTTTTAAAAATAATTTTCAACATTGAAATATAAAAATGTTAAACGAAATTGAAAGGTAGACATTAAAATTAGCAAATTACTGCTTATATTAAAAAACATTACCTAAATACATAAACAAATACATCATAAAACCACAAAATTAGTGTATTATTCATATTTCAGAAATTATTATAGTAGTATATCTTTTGTGTACGAATTATTGAAATTATTGGTTCAATATTAATTTTATTACATGTTTTTTCAATCAAATTTAAAATTACTATGTGGTCTTATTTATTAAAGTTGTGAAATATGTGAGTAGTATTGAAAATTGTAATATTGATGTGAAAGACAATATATTTCAAGAATTTTCTTTTGAGTTTGAGAATTAGTGTAATGGTTGAAGAAGAATTACTGTTTGATATGATAATCACTGCAAAATGAGGTTGAAAGTGAGCTTTTCGATTGGATGTGACCTTAGTTGTGAAACATACGATGCACGAACCATGTAGATAAAAGTATAAAAATAACTATTGCATGGTGAATGAGAATGATAATATCACCATAAAGTAAAATGAAAATTAATCATATTAGTTGGCATATTTTGCCTAAACTAAAAAGATTTCGAACTAATGAGATTGACTTAGAGAATGAAAGTTTGTACACTAAATAAAAAAACATAATTTGAAATTATAAAAAAGTATAAACCGTGTATCACGCGCATCGCACGTGCACTTTACTAGTTAAAATGGCGAATCGGAAACTTCCAGAACTATTGACTAAGTCCAATTCGGTTAATTTGAAGAGGGAAAATAAAGAGAGGTAACTTAGGTCCAAATGCATTTATCATTTCTATCAGGTGTATGAAGAACAAAGGGCCACTGGCAGGCCATACTTAATCCATTTCATCCTTAACAATACTTCACCTTAAGTACAGTAAATATTATTTCAGTTTTAAGTTGCCTAGTTTATATAAATATAAAAAGAAGGAAAGGAAAAGTAAATTGAGTAACAAAGAAATGAAATTGGGAAGTCAACCAGCTGCATGATTGCAACCCACATCCATATATTGAATTCACCTTCAGAAATGACAAAAGATAGGAAATAATACCTGCTTTCCTGTCTGAATGAGGAGGCAACCTACAGGGACTTTGACTTCCATTTTCAGCCCATTTCTCAGCCAAATATTTAGCCCTGGGAATCTACTCCTGCCATGAATTGTAAGAAAGTTGAGGTCATAATGGTATCCGGCAAACACAGTGCCTATGTGACCATGACGTTTTAGGTCACTTCCTGTTGGAGCAAGCAGGTGTGGTCCCTGGAAGTGAGAAATCAACATTCTTCTGTAAGAGTTGAAATAGTCAGGGCATCAATGAAAGAAATAGAAAAATGTAAAAGACCCACAACGAAGATTTCATGACATCGGGAAGAAAAGTGAATGACCTCAACCAAGACATTCATGCTATTGAAGAAAAATAAATGATTTAAAGGCTGTCTATCGGTGAAGTACTTAGACAATAAGACTGGAAGTGATGAACAGAGGTTCAGAACATTTAATCCCAGTAGACACGGAGGAGAAAATTAAGGTGTTCTTCCTTCCCAACTTTAGGAGTCAACAGATTATTTACAAAATATAACTGATCAATGAAATAACAAAATAGTTGTAAGCAAGACGCATAATATACTTGCACCAGATAATGATGCTCATGATAATGACAAAAGGATAATTCTGCTTTATTTGACGGGTAATTCTGCTTGAAGAGCAATAACTCAGACAAAAGGAGAATACTGGAAGTAACAATGTAATAAAATTTCAAATTTCAACAGAAAAGGTTTATGTTGGATGCAGTTTGAACTTCATAACTCCAACATATTTTAAGGATTTCATAAAGTGAAAACTATTACAAACCTGAGGATAAATTGATTTCACTACAATAAATTAAAGCTCACAACAAAAGACCAAACATATAAACCAGGTAATTGCATACATGATATTTGCAGAATTGTATGTCCACTATGCAGCAAAAAACACATTAATGCTTTCAATTATTGTTATCAGTATCTTGGAGTTGGTGCAGTTCCAAAATATGAAATCATCCCCTAATTAAATTTCACGAGATACAATCAACATGTATTTTTCAGAGAATATATAAGTCAAAAACAACAATTACCTGCTTCATAAGAGAAGTGAAAGCATCCTTTTGCAGACCAAAGCCAATTGCAGCCATTTCAGAGACAGCCTGAATATGGAATAACATCAGAAAAACAAACCAGGGAAGAGAGGGGAGGGAGGAAATAATGGAAAGCTTAATGACCACCTCTATAGCAGATATCATCTTAAATCCCCATGAATCCATGGTCTGTTTCCACTCAGGAAATCCCTCGGGTATGACGGGCTCTGAGTTAAGTTCCTACAAATTGAAGCCACATCAGCTTAAGAAGCTTAACGAAACCAACAGAACTCACTAAATCGACCTTAAAGTGAGTATTTGATGGCCGTGGACCAACTCTCCACATATAGCGCCACTTAGGGTCTGGCCCAGCAGGAGTGGATGGCCGTGACTCTATTGGCATTGCTCTGAATTTCTCTTGCATTTCTTCATCCACCAAACTGCGTGGTACTTCAACTCCTTCAGGTGTTACTCCAACCTGAGAAAACATACCATCAACCATGTGAATTTAGTGGATGATGCTCTTAAGGAAACCCATTGAGTAGGCCCCTGAAGAAAACATCAAGAAGTCAGACAAAACAAGAATTACATTGATAAATCATCAACTATGAATGTCCAGCATGCGTGAATGTGAATAGATTCAACATTAAGAAAAGGCGTGTTTACCAAAGTGCAAAGACTAAGTCTTGCATTTTGTCAAATATTAAGGCTTCCTGCTTGTTTCCCTTTCCTGATTGCAAATTAGAACTAGCAGAAACTTGTAGAGGCAGTCAAAAAGATAAAATATGCGCGGTTTAGGAAGCGCTTTCTTTGTAAATTATTACTGAACTATACAACAAAATTCCATTTTGTGTAACTGAGTCTTAGAGATGAGATTATGTATTAATGATTTAAGTTCATGTCTTTCATAATTTAAGCTTAAATTATATCTTAGCACAAAATGTCATTATATTAATCATTAAGGATGTGATCTGTAAAGTAAATTTACTCCTGAAGAAATGAGTGGGATAGGTATTTTTCTCCTTAAATAGAGATTAGTGCTACAAGCACTTAGTTCACATGATATCAGATTTAATTATGCTCTCGATTTCCATGAAATGATATGACACTTAAATTAAAATTGTGTAAGAGGAGAGCCGCAAACACAATCAAGCTAGCAGCAGGTCACAGAACACAAGCATTAAACACTGCATAATATCAATATATCCAAATCCTATGGGAATTTAAAAGAAAATATAGTACCATTGCAGTAGTGCAGAGCAAAGAAGCAATAGGAATGGTATCCTCTACAAAAACAAGTAAATTGACATCCCAAATCCACAATGAGGTAAAATTCCTTAC